CCTAGCACAGCTTTTAAAGAAAAAAGCTAGTATGTCTTCTGACGTCAGAGACAGTGATGGCTTGGTACATTTTAATAGCTTATACACCATATCATATGTGATCATAGGGATGTTTAAGCTCTGAGCAGATTGTGAGTCCAAAACACAATGCTGCAGTCTAGAGTCAGCAAAAAATTTAACGAAAAAATTGGAAAGCTTCTGCTTTATCAGAAGCCGAGAGGAGAACTTGTTCATTTTCATCTTTGATTGTAGATCCAATTCTAGAATTAGCAACGCGGCGATTGATGAAGCCAAAGAGATCGCGCATGTTGGATTCTGTCATCTTGCGCTGCTTATAAAAAAAACGACGCAAATGACGTTTAAGCAACAGATCAGTTTATACTGATCACATTGTAGTGGTTGCGTAACCTCATCAATGTCACTGTAGCAATCAAAGAGTTGAAACCAATCGATGATCATAAGTTGAGCATTGATTTCATTGAAATTTGCAGCTTTGAAATCACGAATCTTGTCCGTCGATCCAGTAGTATGTGATTTTTCAATCGAAAATTCAAGCACAGAATGCTGCGAAAACCAAGCGGAGGTTACGTACCCACAAAGCTCACAGTGTCAGATGACGTCAGGATAATATCAAGTATCGTTCTTTCTCTAGTGGAAACATTCGCAACCTGGGTCATCTCAAAGGAATTAAAAAGATCGATATATCGTCTTGAAGAAAACATTCTAGCCTTTTTATAAAAATATTCCAGATATTCATCATATGCTAGGACATCGGCCGAGGGTAAGAAATCAAGAGGAATGCTCTCATATAATAATTCATCATGTATCAGCGCACAAACACGCCCCCTCTTCTTCCCATACATCTTTTCTCAAAAAGTAAACGGTAATTCAGCGATAATTTCGTTATTACAAATCAATTTTCCGATATGCCTTTGCTTTTTGCTCCAAAAACGAAGCCAGCTCGAATGCATACTTCAGTGTTGCGTCTGTAATGCGACTCTTCTAATGTAAGCTTTCACTGCATTTCAACCACCGATTCAAGAGGGTTCCGCGCTTGACGATGGCAGTTACGGACACTACAGGGTTCGTTAGACCACATCCGTTTCCAGAAGCATCGTTTGGCGAATTATGATTAACCATTGTGTCAATAAATTAAATTGCCTTTAGATTCTGTCTTGGAGACTTTATCGCCTTTTTCGACAAAGTCGTTGTTCATCAGAGGTCTGACAACGGTTTTGGTGCCTAATGCTGCGAGTCATAGACTAGGTCTAGACTAACAGAGTGGGAGGAGGCGCTTGAAGGTATGATGCGCAAATCAAAGGGCCTACAATCCGTCTCCAGACCTCTGATGACGACAACATCGTCGAGACGTTAGGTCAATAAGGTCTCCACCACAAAGTCTGAAGGCACGAACTACTGACACAATTACTATACTGACATCTTATCATGCCCAGATTCAAACACAAAAAGCATTTAACTTGTGAATAACCAGTTATTGAGCATCTCAATCCTGCCCGAGCTGAAATATTTCGATTGTCGTACAAATCTAGCTCTCTATTCTAGCCACTATCACTCTTGCGTTTAGAAGAGCCCTTTATGACCAAAACCTTGTTTTCAAAATGACTACCAACAGGATTGAATTAGAAATGCAAGATTTTTTCATCTATCGAATGTCAATAACAGTGGCGTACCCAGGATTTCGGCTCGGGGGGGGGGGGGGGGCGCGACAAAAATTTTTTTCTAATGAAGGTGCGTGGCGTTAGCCACGCACTCTGAAAAAATTTTTGGGGTGCTTCTAAGAACTTTTGCGGGTCCCCGACCCCTAAAATCTAGAAAGAGGGGGCGTGGCGTGAGCCACGCCCCGAAAAAAATTTTTTTACAAGGCTAATTAGAATTTTTAAAAATTTTAAAAAATTATTTTAATTATTTACAAAAATAAACAAGTCACTTGCACATTTTTATAACCCATATAAGTAACTTACAAAAATTTCGCGACCCATTCGCGGGGGGGGGGGGGGCGCGCGCCCCCCCCCCCCCCCCCCCCCCCCTCGGTACGCCACTGGTCAATAACTATACTAAAGGCACATGTTCAGGCCTGCAGTAGGGAAAGTGAGGAACCAGCAAATCTATGACTCTTTCTTAATGCGTGCTATCAAAACATGGAATGGGTTCCCAATGGAAGCTATCACCGCGAGATCTATATTCGTTTTCAATAAGTTCAAAAATCTTTGAAATCACAAGAGTTATTCTGAGTACCATTTTCAAGGGAATTTTTTGAGATTTCGACGTTCCTTTTCTCCGCAACGAATTCTAGCTGATGTATGGTCTGGTCTCCCAGAAAGCGAATCTTTTCCGCACTATGCTCGATGTTTCGTTTTTTTTGTTCCCGCAATTTAAAAGAATGTATCTACCTTCAGTGATGCCCCTACCATTCTTATGCATTGCAACTCTCTCAAATTATCTTTATTTTGCTTCAATGTTCTCCTAATTATCATTTCGTTCTATTTCGAACTGAGAACCCCCTCTTTATTTGTATTGTTCCTTTCAATGTATTTCTTATTGTTCCGGAAAAACTTTATTTTTTCTCTGAGTTATGGCCAGCCAGCCTTTGCACACGGGCTCGCTAGCATCCAAACAAGGGATTACGTTTGCAAGACGTACAAAATTTTGGTCGACCATTGAAATAATTGATCTTTCTCGTCTAGAATCTTTTGGATGTCGACTTCACAGTTGAATAGTTGTTATAGAGGGATTTTATCTCGTATAAACATACTTTCACAAATATACGTCAGAATGCGAAGCTTGAAATCTATTGCTACAAGGTTTAAAAGCCATATTACCTAGGGAAGCAAACGCGGCGCGCTCGTATCTTCACCATTGTAGATCCCGCGCCTGAAGCGCGCGGTTAACGAAATCGCATTTCCGAACCTAGTTCTTGCGCCACAGTAGAGCTTACTTTTTTGCGTCCAAACCGAATCCAGTCTGGGGCCGCATGCGTTAACATCCCCGCTGGGGAGGGGATCGCAGTTTGAAAGAAAGCTTCATATCCGGAAGCTCCAGATGTCCGGATTTCACGCTGTCTACCTATCAGTAAGTATTCCCACCATCCTCCACTATGGACATAGTGAACAGAAGCGAGAAGCTGTACAAGCCGCATTTTCCAGCTTTTTGTATGATCATGGTGATAGGGGGATGACCGTCCACGCTTTGAAGTGATTTTTCTTTCTTCAAAGTTGATGAAAACATTCAAAGTTGTATTGCTTATCTAACTCAACAGTGCTAAGCATGTTGCTGATAAGAACAGATGATGTTTTGAAGTTCGGAAGTTGGGGTATGTCGGAAATCTCGATATTTCAGAAACTCATTGGTTCTCATCAGCAATATGCTAGCACTGTCAAGTTAGATAAACAGTGCAACTTTGGAATGTTTTCATTGACTTTGAAGAAAGAGAAATAACCTTAAAGAATGAACGATTGTCAGCCGGAGTCATTAGGGGATACAAAAAGCTGAAAGATGCGGCTTGTACAACTTCTTGCCCCTGTTCAATTTGTTCATAATGAAGGATAGTAGGAATACTTACCGTAGGTGATTAGACAATCTGAAATCCAGATATCTAGAGCTTCAGGATATAAAGCTTTCGTGCTTTGTCATTTTGGTGTTTACTCTACCCTTTAATAAGTCAAGCCGAACTTCCAATGGACGCCAGTCTGCTGGCGTTGACAGAGAGCTCTTTCATGAGGAAGCAAGCGTAGCGCGAGACTTCGTGTTGAGACCGCGCAAGCCCACGATACGGTAGTGGGCACGCGCCAGCACAGACTACAGTAGTAGAATACATAATGTTGGACACAGTAGACTAATGGTTACAAACTGAATTAGGTGACCAATTCGTAAGTGAAAGTATCAATCTTCGACGGTCTCCCACATCGCTTGTTGAACGATCCCTCTTCATGTGTTTTAAGCAAATCAGCGACTTTCTGTCTTAGACAAAACTTATCAAGTTATTCTCTTGTTCAAAAATATCTTATGAATTCTCAGTTGATTCACACGACAAGCATTTTTGAAAACTTCAATGCATGGCAATATGAATATAACATAATTTAACACATGTCGCAATAAAGACAAGTACAATATAGAAACTAAAAACATTAGAAATTTTACTCAATGAACTGCACATGTATTCCCGTGGTACTTACACGCATGATTTTCTATTCAAAAAACAAACAAACATTGCGTGTAAAAGACAGAGAATGTGACACCGTAATTTGAATGACAAAGAACAATTGAAATTTAATATGTCCATCAGGATTTTTCAGTAGCACCTGGTACAATTTGGCTTTGATACCAGCGCTTATATGGTTAATGATCATTCTAGCTCATTGACAGCGTACTAAATGAAAGTGAAGCATAAAGAAACAACATGAGACATTATACACAATCTCAAAGAAAATTTAATGCCAAAGACTGACAACAACAAAGTAAGCTGTTCAGATTTTTGTAAGCATTACTGCTGGTCATATGGCAGGTGTGAATCTATCTCATCGTTTCTACTTCTGTATAAACTCAAATACACGGATAGTTCTCATACAGTAGTTCAAGATGTGGGTGTAGAGTATTCATGGCCTGACAAATAGCTTTTATCCTATATACAAAAATATGAGCTGCACCTTGATAAATAATTTAAAATAAATAGACGAAAACAGGCAAAGATTCCGCATGGAACCCTTTGCCGTAGGGCGCCTTTATAGTAGGATTGCGTGAGAGAGCGACCGCTTTGCAAGGCACATGCGCAGCGACGCGCCGCGGTTCGCTCGTAACAAGCTCTCACAACTGGAGTCAGGATACGTTACATTAGTACGAAATTGACGTGTTCAAGCGCTTAGAAAAGTTTTAACTAAAGTGTAAATTCGGCTAGAGGTACTCGCTCTCAAAGGACAAAAATCATTGAGTTTTCCAATTTTGAAGCATCTTTCCTGAATCAATCTATCATTCTATCTAATGACTTGCCTTTCTTCAAACATCCCCACCCTATTAACCAGCAGTCACATGCAGATGGAAACAATTGCTACAGTAATATAACAACAGCTTAAGTACTGCACATCATTCTTCCCGTTGAGAAATAAATCCTCCTATCTCCTGCTGATTGTAGGAGAGATAAGACCCCAAAAAGACAATAAATTTGTCTAAGGCGAAATAAATGCGACGCGGATTGCGGAGTCGATTGTGATCCATTGCTGCTAAACAGCGCTAATCGTGCCCTTGTCCATGAAGTCGCCATTCTGAAAATGATCAAAGATTAATTGTGTTAAATTACACTGAATCTTCTAAGCAGGGGTAACTAGCATAGGCAGCAGCATCAACACAAAAACATTGCTAGTGTCAGCTTACCACATTCACACATAGAGGATCTCCTGAAATTGTTTTAGCCCTTATTATGAAACGGGATCAAGAGACCATTTCAATTCACTGACCAGCTCAATTTTGTCAATTTGCAGCGTTTTGAATAAAAATACTCACTTGTATTAGTAAGTGGGGTTTCGTCTGATCATCTGAGGTCGTATGGGAGGAAAGCGAATGGGCAGGATCAAGTGATCGGGTGGCCTCCTCACCAGCAGTTGTTGTCTGAAAATAATCCTAAAAATCATTTGAGCAAACTTACTTGTAATTCATGATCTGTAAAAAGTGCACAGTGTGATATCCAAAGAAAAAGTGCTGAACAGTTAATCACAGTGCCTCACAGTCCCTTGACTGTGTTCAACGCACAGAAAAAGCTGCAATTTATAGCCAAAAAAATTTTCTTTAGTTCTATTTTTTTTTCGGAAACTCTCATCTGCTACAAATTAAAGATCTTGTACCTCTAAACTAAACATCAGATTTTTCTTCAGTTTCGCTTTAAGTGTGTTATTACCGAATATTATAGAATTAGTCCAGCAACTTTTTTGAATTTTTGCTGCTTACTTCAAACTTAAACTTTATTACAACCAGTACCCCAGTAGTACGCTTGTTGTTCGTGAGACGACTTTTCAGGTTTGAAACGGAAATTATCGATCTTATGTTCCTTTTAGGACCCAACCAATCAAACAACTTGGGAGGCCACCTTTTATTTTTTTTTACAACCCAAAAATGTTTACTAATATAAGGATAGTTGTTGTAGCATCTGATTATTTAATCCAAAAAATTTCAAGTTACAGCTCAGCATGAAAATTCACTCTACAATCGACGGATCTTTTCTTTCTTGCAAATTTCGGAATGCGTTGTGCAAAGTAAGTTTGTTGAAATGGAGAATTTTTTGATACACATGACAGTATTCTTCTTTCTTAAGATGTTTTTCTACAGATATCATTGAAAAAAAACCTGACTAAAGCAGAGCAATATACTAGAGTCCCAAAATGGAGCTGTTCTCAACACTTCATCATGAATATCATTCAAAAATGTCAAGAAATTTTTATACAGATAAGAAAATCCCCAAAATATTCTGTGGGTTCACACAAATTCCGCTTCCGTTTCTATTTGCCCACTTCATAAACATACGTGAGAAATTTCTCACAACATACTTTCAAAGAACTTTTGAATGCTAATATATGTGACGAGAAACATGCAGATGCTTTTCGTATCCAATCGATAATTCATTCCTTAATATTTTAAGAATGCAGAAATGAATTTAACAGCTATAGCACTGGACAACTACTTTCTGAAGCCCATTTAGACCTTGAACTTTGGAAAAAAATAGTGAAAGAAGGGGATTCTTGAACAATTTGAACCATTTGATTTTAGGCTTGAGGTTGGAGTTTATGCAAATCCAGGAATCCTTTGCTAAATCATCTTATGGAAGTTTAGTGTTATACTAATCCTTTTTTGCATGTATATACATTGAGAATAAAAGATGCGAAAAACAATTGTTTGCGTAAATTCGAATTCGATTTAACTTCCTTTGCACCCTCTTAACCTTCCTCTTCCTCGTTTTCTGCATAAATTGCGAATGCAAACAAATCTTCAAAGGGCAAGATTCAAAACATATGTAGAACAATTCATGTCCTACGGTAATGACGCAATTCGGGCAATGTTCGCTTCGTTTTTTCTCTTGAAGTGGTTACCACATGAAAGAGGAACAACAAGGCATTTTATAAACATACGCTTCAATAGCTTCGTATGATTTAGACGGTTCGTTGCAACATAATGTGTTGTTATAACAACCAAATTTTTTTCTTTGAGGAAGGAACAAGCTGTTTCCTTTCCGTTAAGAAACAAAATGTCTAGGAAGAAAAAACCTCTCTTTGGGTCACAGTAAATATGACAAATCTTTTCCGTCATAGAAGAGCTCACTAGGATAAAATTACTTACTTAGGTTCCTCTCAGATGTTATAGAAGAACTGCGCTATTAGTTAATTAAAAACTAAGTTCAATCGCTTTTGCGGCTCCTACAATTGCTGGGCAAGTGTTTGCTAAGAGTTCGGTATCTTCGGAAAAAGCACTTCAGTGGAAAATGGACTAAGAACATTGTTTGAATAGAATTCGTTTCCTTACGAATAAGAAGTGCAAGAAGTGAGAAAACCCAACTTTCTCGTTGTGAACAACTGTGAGAAAATTTCATTTTGAACAAACAGTTTCAGACTGATAGATTACCATTTTCAACGTTAACAGCGTAAAGTTGTGCGTATTCAATTACCAAATTGTTTACTATAACCACCACAGCACGAAGCTTAGGAATGTAAAGAGATGAGCCTTAAAAATTTGGCCATATTAAGACACAAAGTCGATAACATAAAATCTTGAGAAGGTGATGTATGAATTGCCAGAAAAAGCTGTGAACTATTTTCTCTTGAAACCATAGATGAAAAACATCAAGAAGAGTTTATGGAGATTTCCATGGCCTTATTTTTTATCCAACCTGATATAATACCGAGCAAGTTTTTTTTTCTAAATTATTGAGCCATTACTTATTGAATTTATTAAAGTTTTGCGCTGTACGTGGCAACTGCAGTTATTCCTCCAAATAGGTGTATAGCTTAAAAACTAATTATTTCGATTTCCTGAACAAAAAGAAAGTGGACTTGATTCTATAGTATACAGCAAGTTCACGCAGAATGCTAATAGACACTGCTCTCATCGAAAAAATGATGCATTCGAAGTGAAATAAGATCTTTTCAGCAAGAAAACCGATGAAATGCTTTGTTTTTGGTAAATGACAAAGCACAGCAGAATTCTGAGATGTGGAACACTTTCACTCTTTTATTAGAAACGCAACAAAAGTTTATCATAAACAAAAACCCTAGTAAGCCTATACACTTTATTTTGTGTGCAGCTACCGATTTTCTCATTCCCTCCTTTCAGGAAACATAGAAACGAAAACATGATTTAGGCATACGTTGAAAAAATTGCGCGGCTTGTGTGGCCTTCCTTATGCAGGAAAAACAAAGAATTTTTGCACGCTTGAGCAGCTTTCAGAAACATACCGAATAACATGCCCCATGCCTAAGGAGTTTGTTGCATACCAATGCAGATTTCAGAATTACGCCTACCTGATGCTTGTACAATTTTCATGTGAGAATAAATACTCTGAATTTTACAAATGTGGTGGCTAGATTGCCGCCCAATCGTTAGCACAAAAACTATGAAATATAAAAATGATTAGCGTGCCGGATTATACAATAAATTGCTACAATCTGTCAGTTCTAAAAAAAGCTTAAGTATGTATTTGAGAAATAAAACAAAATCTCTACAATAACCTCCTTCTGTTGATTCGTTATGACATTATTAAATTTCGACCTTTTGAAAAGAGATGACTCTTGAGCGCGTAAACTGAAAAGATGATTTGTCAAGTGCTTACATACAGGGTGTCCCAAAAAGATGTGCACACTGTTTGATGGTTAATAACTCTCCTGCTTTCATGTCTTTTGCTGAGCTCAAGGTGCCATTCTGTAGACCGAGGTTTAACTTAGATTTGCTGTGTGGAGCGAATAACCGATCCTCTTCATTACTGTAAGATTACGGTAGGAACTTCAAGGAGGTTTTTAAGCCATTGAAAGCGGTATTTTGCCTGTAATTTGCCTTAAAAAAAGCCAAACAAGCCAGAAACTTTGGATGGGCTAATCGAAGACGCTGAGTCTAAACATAAAATTTGCGCTTTAGTATAGCGCTTCTTTCACAAGTTATTTCAGATTTAAGGTAACAACTGTTTTTCCATGCTCATCAGAAATGTGAATACGCCGTCAAGAAAGCTCGAGAAACTCATGAAAAGTCATGTAGTGAAATCAGCACGCCTTTTCCATACAAATTCTCAGATTTTTTTGAAATTATTTCATCAAAAGGCCTATTTCACAGTGACGCTATATGTTGGAAGTTCATACCGTAATCCTACAGTAATGAAGAGTGATTGGTGACTCGCTCCATACAAAAAATCTAAGTTGAACCTCGTTCTACAGAATGGCACCTTAACATCGGCAAAAGACATGAAAGCAGGAGAGTTATTAACGATCAGACAGTGTGCACATCTTTTTGGGACACCCTCTAATACGAGTTGGGGGGGGGGGAATCTTATTTTTCTCTCGCCAGATCCTCTTCTCATTTTTTGACAGTGCGCTTGAGTTATTTATCCATTTGCAGCACGCTTGCAGATAAGATTCGTAGAAAGAATCACGTAATTCTGCACATCATACGCTTAGTTATTCTATGCGTTGGCGGAAGTGTGAGAGATCACTTCCAGATATAAGCGTTTCTGCACGTGAAGCGTTTGAATTATTCTATTGACATGCTTGAATCCTGGGTAACGAAGCCACCAAATTCGTCATACTTCGAAGAATTGATAAATAACGAATTGCTATGTGGTTATAGATTTATTAGCGAAAAAGAGGGGGAGGGGGAAAGCAGAAGAAATAAGCATAGCTCAAAGGTCTAAATGGGAATTAGATTATTAATGCATATCCCCACAGACAAGAGTTTAATTTGTCCGATTACCCACATATAGTACAAAATGCAAAAAAATGTTTATCTTTATTTGAAAATATCAGTCACAAGGTTTACCTTATATGCTATTTTACTGTCTTTAAGCATGAAGTGGCTACTTGAGGGGCGATATTTAATAGATATGAATAGCTCTCATGTTCTGCCCCAAACATAACGTGGGAATCCCTGTACAACATACTAGATAGGAAAGAATTTGCAAGAAAAATTTCCTGCAAGATTTTTGCACCATTTACATTGTCAGCAAAATTTCACGAAGTTCAAACTTCTTCAGGAGCAGAAGAACATACTGTGAAATGCTTTAGTTTTCTCAGTCATTTACCTGCTAGACGCAATGGCGGTCCAAGAAATTTTCCGGTAAGGAACGCAACAAAAATTCCCAGTAAATGAGGGAACACGATGTTGACCATTACTTTCAAATTATTGAGCGCTTAATGTCCGAAAACAAAGAAGAGCCCTGGATCAAGAAAAATTTTTTTGTGAATTTTTCGATTTTGAAAACTTTGATAACTATTTATTACAAGTTGAAAGAATTACTTGCTTGCTAGATTACTTTTTATAGACCTTGCAGACACTTTCAAGAACCTGGGATTTATTTTCGAAGGGGGGGGGTGGATAAATCAGGCGAAAGATTATCGAAAAATACATTTTTGAAAACAGCTTCAGCCAGTGAACCTGTGTGCTAGAATATTTTTTTTCGGAAATTTTGATCTCATGCTTTACATCCGTTTTTTTGAAGTAAAGGACTTATAATATTTAACTTCTGAGCTCAAATACTCACAAATCCCCAGCTTGATATGTCCAAATCAAACATATTTCTAGCCGTTTCAATTCAGCAATGATGTCACTATTCCGAAAAAACTGCACGAAATCATAAGTTGCTGCCCGTAGTCACGAAATAGCAGAAATGCGTTGCTGTTTCCCGCGTTGAAAATGAAATCACTTCGAAAAAAGCTAAGCTAGTCATACGCCAATCTTATCAAATTTTAACAGTCAGAACTACTTGTTTTTTTTTGAATGTAATACTATTAACTCGTGCTACAATGTCTTATTCTCTATACCTAGCAATAAACTCGTTTATTCTATTTGCACAGTGCATTCAATTTCGTAGTGGATTCCGGAGCTAAAGTGGAGTAATTGTCTTGGTAATTTTACGAATGCGCTGAGTCTCAACGGACTCGCTCCGATTGTGGCTCAAGTACTACTAAGAAAAAATTGTTAAAATGTCTAGACGAACTTTGTGGGTCCAATTTTTGTATCTAAAATCTATTCTAAGTGCACGAATCTATGTGAGGACTACACCGCGTACCTGTTCGCAATGAACAAACCAATATTTGTGTTTTTTAAGTCTCTCACGGTTCTACGTTCTTATAACGTGAAATTTCACTTGAAGCGATTCTAAAGATAATATTATATTTTGTTCTGCGAACAAAGATAAGTGAGCTTTCTTCGCTAAGCGGGGTAAAATCTGGAAAATTTATCTGCCTTCAAGAATTGCAAATTATAAATCACAATCAAAACAAATTACATAAGACATTAATCCAAAAAAGATTGAAAATATTTTCGTTTGTTGAACATGCAAGTCCTAAAACCTTTTCTATAATTTTTCATGAATGTTTTTGATTCGAGTTGTAGATTTATAAACAATTATTGAGAATTTCTCAAGAAAGCTGATTAAGGTGTTGCAAAAGAACAGTAAGGAACGCTTCTTGCAGAACACACAAATTGACACGTTTCTCAAGCTAAGTGCATTTGCACACAACTTGCAGAAATGCGCGTAATATCTTGGATTTCGCTTGCAATGTTCTTTTACGACTGTGTGCACAGTGAATGTACCCCACCTTTTTGAATGAGCAAAGGAAAGCTCAGAAAAAGAATTGGAAAGTTTTTTCGCAAGGATTATGTGAGTAGTCCGTCCTGCCAGCGAGATCGCGTGTTTTGCCACAATGTGCGCTTCGGGTGCAATTACACACGTTGCGTCACGATCTCACTCCTATGTAAAGTCTGTGTCAAACTGAAACTCCGTTTGTGAAAGTGCGCATCCGCAACGTGAGAGCCCTGCATGGCAAGCCTCAAGCGGAAGGTCGTACTTGCTCAAGTCGTAAGCTCGCGAACGCGCCGCGAGAAGGGGGACGATGGGCTGATAGAAAAGAGAGTTCGCGATTGATGCAGATCATAGATACTATGAGGTTTAGAGGTCGTAGTTAATTTTTCTTTTTAGAAGGATCAAGAAAAAGATGACTTCAGCTAATTTAACCAACCAAAAGAAAACTTCTCCATTACCACATAGTATTCAGGTCATACACTACATTTTACATGAATAAACTGAACCTTTACTGACCATAATTACCTTTGTTTTGATATCAACCGGATTTCCTCCATGTTTTCCGAATAAACTCCGGCGATGTTTATTCTGAACAGATGAGATGGCGTGATGTCGGCATAGCAGGTAGTGCAGTTCTCGTCGAAGTTGCGTGTTGAACAGTAAGTATACCGTAGGATTTACCTTAACCCATACAGATAGTGGTTAACGTGGGCAATAAGGCATGGTAACAAGAGGATTTGGAAAGCTTGCTTACCGAATTATTGACAAAGAATAATGACGTCATCACAAAATATGCCCATTTCGAGCTCGACATATGCGGAAGCCATTGCCATGTAGTCCACGTCAGCAGAAATACGAGCGATACAACAAAGAACTGAAAGGAATGAAGATTGAAAGTTCTACAGTAGGTCTGCACTAATTTTTTATTTTCTCACGCCTAGGTAGAGGCGATATCAAGTTTTGAGTCACTTGTGCAACCGCACACAATTTGTTTCACTTGCTTGCTTTCGATGCACTGTAAGCTACAAATGTTTTTTTGCCACGTTCTTGTAATAAACCTTTACATACTTTGGTGAAGAGTCAGACACCAGACACATTTAACTTCAAGGGGCTTAACTTAACTTCAACTTCATGGGGGTAGTTACACCATTTTGGGCTGTGGCCAGGGTTGACCGTGCCAGCGCCGTTCCAGAACCGCGTTAGCACATGGTAGAAAATCGTGCCATCAATGGCGTGACTAATTGGGTTCCATCACGACGCTAGCACGGTGCTGGCATTTGCACAGCAATCCTGGACGCTGTCCAAGAAACTGAGACCTCTTCTACATATAGAATACCTACGACTGGCAAAAGTGCGCATTTGCACAATATGTCTAAAAACCCAAGAGAGCAATTTGTTTAGGTGCTAGCTCAGTGGTTTGCCCTGCATTTACTGTTTCCCATGAAGATTCATTCAAAAAAGTTTCGATATCTCAACAGTCGTCGTTTGCAACGTGATACGTGTACTGCACGCCACATACGCAATCTCACGACATGTGTATTTGCAAGTTTCAAATTTCAAAAAAATTTTGTTTTCTTTTCTTTTCAAGTTCATGTAGGTGCTGCAATATGTAAATATTCATTTATGATCGGGTTATTTGCATTAGATTGGTTTTGACTGACTATGTGAAAAAAGAAGTCACAGAATCCCACGCGGAATGTGCAAAAATCATCTTTGTATTGCGAATGACTTGAGTTCAGCTGCAGAGGTCGAACTACAAGTTCACGCTTACTGTAGCTATCGATGCTGTGCAACTGCACCAACAGTGGCTCATCTATCCAACCGTAAGCAAGTGTATTTATCTACCTACCTGAATAAATAATCTCATTTCTTTTTTGCTAACTTGACTACGTGGTGGTCGAACTGAGGACATTCTCGTACAACCGTTCATTTGACACGATAACGATACTCCCGACATCAGCGCATGTTGTTGCTAAAATGAATATTTAGTTCTGCAATCTTTTATTTTATAGGAAAGGCTTCAAGTTAGCAGATGTTGTATGAATGCTCCAAATTTTCCCACACTCAACCCAGTCTTCCTTTCTTCTGCTATTTCCATTTTCAGCTGAACTTTCATTTTCTAATGGATGCGCTCGCAAACATTTACGAACTTGTACTTCCGTTCTGCATCGATGCAAGAAAAGCGAACCCAATCAAATTTAGTATCAAGCTATATGTAGTGTGCTACAGTGAAGAGTGCATTTCATACTAATCATTCTGTGCTTTGAAGATTTTTGCAGCGTCTGGACGAGATTTCACGCGTTAATCATCACTTACTCTCACGCCATAAATTTTCCACTATCAATCATGCAAAAGTGTGCGAACAAATTTGTAAGCTTCACACGCTAAAAGAAGCTTGAAGCTATTAATTGAGTCGAAGATTGATAATAGTGGTGCATATATGCATAAGTGAAACAAAGGCTTGGGTCAACACTTCTTAGCGAGGAAGAGCTTGGCGGGATTTTCGAATGCGAATTAATCATAACCTAGAAAACAAGGAAGTAGTCTGTCTAAGAGGATTAACTATTACTTGCACAAAGGGGTTAGAGAAGGGCTATAAAGCACTCAGCAGCCGTTGCGTGCTAGACAGCAATGTAGCAATCTTATCCAAGTACATTTTCGCAAAAATTTTGCTAGAAAAAAGATATATGAACACTTTTTTGAACTTACTCTTGTTCTAATTGTCAGTTGATACTTCGCCATAGCCCTGCCGCTTTCTCGAACTTTGTAGATTATTACACCATACGACATTATCATCATAAATAGCGATGTACTATTCAAACCCATATCTAGGTACTTGTACCTGTAAATGAGAATATTGAACTTATTTTTCCCAAATCTATATAAACGTTTTTTTATCGTGGAGCCCTTGAGCGCTGGCAAATTGGCATGGTGAGTAAATTGGCCGTCATTAGAGAGGAAATATCGTGCACTTCCGGCCCTAGAGTGATCTTCCAATTCCCCTCTCATGGATTAATTTATTTGATGACAACTTTGGCCTACGAAGCAATGGTTATTAAAAACGTCCAGGAAACTATAATCCCAATGTTTTTGTTTATTTGAGACCTACACACTTTGTTTGCTTACGGGACGCGCTGTCTGCTTCAATAACGCTTAATAAGCTCATTCGGTCTGCGATTCTAGTTAAGACCAGTATGGGTTATTGGTAGTTTAGCGCATCTTGCTCTCAATGGCCGGTTTGGCAATATTATAAACTCAGGGAAACTAAGGTAGTATACTGTAGCGACCAAAAGACTCTTATTGGTCAATGATCAATCAATTGGCAGAATTACTGTAATAAATTTAACAAAAAATTTTTTTACCAAGTATCCATGGGTTGATAAACTGTGATATAGTAGTCAGAATTCCATAAAGTGTGACAACATGGAAATAATGTGGGCAGAGAGACGAGAAACCCAAGTGCATATCCAAAAACTATTAAATACAATGTTCTCCTTCTTGAGAACATGTTTTTGTATTCCATCGGGTAGACAATGGAGACAAATCTAAAAAAGAAAAAGGTGAAGCTTAATCTGCTGCATTTATAGTTTAAAAGTAACTACATTCTTTCAAAAATTATGAAAAGATTTGCAAATTGATGTGTGCTCACTATGATATGAATGTTGCACAACAACAAGAAAATAACAAACCGATTGCCAGCCATCAGACCAAGTTGTACAACTCCCGTATACCAAAATAGATCATAAAAGAATATCATAAGAATATTTCTAAGCGAATAAAATTCCAAATAGGCATCATGAAATGCCGTTGCTGGCACCAAATGTATTAGCGATATAACGACCATGACAATATCGCATATGGCAAGAGAAATTATAAACCAGTAGCTGAAAATGAGATAAATGAGTTTATATGAAAAGTTAAGAAGGTTCGGGGGGGGGGGGTGGGAGCTTGAAAAATTTACCTGGTGGCAGTTCTCATCGTGGAACTTCGAGCAATCCCGACAAGGATCAAAACATTTGATATTAGAGCGTAGCTCAGCATCACAAGCCATATCGAAACAGCGATCAAATCGTCTCTTCGTTCCGAGGACGACCTAAAATATTCTAGTAGAAGAAGGAAAAAAAACAGAGAAGGAGAAATTCTGCTATCAAATCGTGCTAAAAGTCGACTAATTAGGCTAATTATCCAGTAAAAATGTCTGTAAAAATGCTAACAGAAGTGCTTGTAGCGTATAGAACGAAGCATTCTTGTCCCATGTCATTGCAGTAAGGCTCCAGACGCGTCGGCGAAAGGCTTATGGAGCTTCCAGAGCAGAAAAAATACGTTAGAGCTCTTTTTCCTGACAAGTCAATTCGATAAGAGAGTAGTATTGCATTTATAACGAGCTGTGTAGTTCACGGAGCGCGATCGACCACATTTTTTTTCATGAATGTGCAAGTGTGAATAATAAGCAGGAATGAATGTGCAAGAGCAATATAAGAAGGTAAATATATAGGAGATAAGCTTTGCAGAAGAGAAAAAGAAGAGGAAGAGGAAGAAGCGTTACGAAAATCTATTTCGTGGGGTTACTTGAGCCTCGAGCCCCCCACACAAGAGGCCCCTCTTGCTGCTCAAGATTGCGAATTGCAGTGTGGTTCGATTTATTTCCACCCCCCCCCCCCCATGTCAGTCGGAGGTAAGCTCTCTATGAGTACTAAATGTTCTCTTCGTTCCACAACTACTATCATAAACATTTCCTTTGAAGCAATTGCTCGTCAAAGTCACCGTAGTTTGGCCAGATTCGGCGAACAAACTGCTGCTGTTCGAGAGAATACGTCCCGTAGCGATTACTCTCTGCTGCAGAGCAGATATTAATTTCCTCAAAGGTTCAGCCGGTGTCAGGCTCTGCTCTGCTCTCGGATAGAGACGATGAGAGAATTGCAATTATTGGCTGAGAGTGATTATAATCAAGCAGGTGAAGTGCTGATATTCTGCCCGAGTAGATGAGAACAGCCCGCTTCATATTGAATCGCCGAGGGTCGGCTCTGTTCTATTCAGATCGGATGGTGAAATGAAAAATGAGACAATTCTATTTTTGGAAAAAATGAGCAACAGGTCATAGGAGCATAGTTTGCATCAATGAATAAAGGAAACAATTTATGAGACAGGTCAAGATTTGTAATACATGCTTGATACACTAAGGTACAGAAAATAAAGCGACCGATGATATTTTAGTTAATAGATATTGCAAAACGTTCAAGGAGACGCGGATATATTGCCGCACATAATAAATTCGTAATTAAGAAACTGAACTATTTGCAGAAGTTTAATATTCTCTTTGTACTTCCTATTGACTATAAAAAATATAAGAACTTTTATCAGAAGTTAATGCAGCGTAAATGAGAGGAAAATCTTCCGTGTATTATATTTTATTTTTTTATAGGATTCTTTTATGATTATTTTCCTTGAAAAATTGATGCATGATTATCAAAGCTGGATATCTTCCTAAAATCATTTTACAAATTTTACTTTTATACTTATTCAGTGTAACAACTTCGATACAAATTCTTAACCTCGTTTTTTTTTCTCTGCTCAGAACAGAGTGAGGATTAGGGCTCGGCACAGGTGGCTTATAAGCAAGCTTATCATTTTTGGGACAAAAAGCAAAAGGAATATCGTTTTTTGTGGCCGAAAAACACGAAGATTTTTAGCCGAGTTTCGTTTTTTAAGGATTTTTTACGGTTATGAAGTCAAGGAAGGTTCGTTTTTTGCATTTTCGGAAAGCCGCCCCGTGCCGAGCCCTGGAGGATGACATATGAGAGGACGATGGTAATGAGAAAGCGATGCAAAATGTAGTAAAATCATGCAACCTCTATCTACAAGTTTACAAGTAAAGAGGCTAATTGCTCAAGTTTTCTAGAGAGAAAACGAAATCGATCTACTCTCTAATGAGGAATTCGCAAGTAGGTCTCGGTAAACGATGATGCGAAAAATCGCGCAACCGAGCTCGAATGTGAACAAAGTTTGGTTAATGAAGCTTTGCTAAATGTGAGGACGTTCATATGGCAAAAGCGACTTTTTTATAAATGCGAATGAAGTGAATAGAACGGGGCAAAAACGGGGGCACGCTTCTTTACACTTACGCTCTTTATAAATTATTCTGCGCAAGGTTGGCTTGTCTCTCCCTCGGCTATATCTTTCCACGAATTCGTATACGTGGATAAAGATCATATAGTCAAGTTATTTATTCTGGTAGAATCATAAGAAAGAAGAGCTGAATATCGACACAAAATAAAAAAACTATCTTAATAACTCATATTTAGCTAAGTATTTGCAAGACAACCCCCCCATTTTTCCTCGATTCCGATAAATTTTCGAGAATCCTGCGCTATGTAAGGAAAAAATTTTATTTCTACCCATTAAACTTTGTTGCTTGAAAGTACTTTTCCTCGTGGATTGCTCTTTGCAACTCCCCAATGCATACTTTTCCCTATGAAGAATCTGCAAAAAAAGTAGGAAAGAAAAGATGATTAGTGGTTGCTGATTATGACGATATAAATGACAATGATTCATTATTCATAAGGAAGTTTTTAAGTATGTCTGACAAGAAGGAAGTAAGTAAATTGAAAAAAAAAGTTCAGCTGAGCTCGGACGACAGATAAGAGTTGAGTTATTTGTGTAATAAATAATATAAGAGAAAATAAAATAAAGAGTTTTGTACAACTGAAAAGAGAATAAGTGAGCCATATCTACCGTGCCAAGATTAAATGGTGCTTCTCACTTGCTTGATTTTGAAGAAAACAGAAAATTGTCTTTTAAGAAGGAAGTTCATAAATTAAAAAAAAAGTTGAGCTATACTTCGACCACAATGAAAGATAAGAATTAGACTTTTTGTGCAATAAATAAAATAAAAAATAAATTGAAAAAGAGTTCTGTTTTACAACTAAAACATATCTACCGTGCCAAGATTGACTGATGGTCGTACAGGATCAGTTTTGAAAAACGAGGAAATTATTGCAGAAAGTAAAAAATTTGATTTCTCAAAGAATAGCTATAAATCCAACCGCAAGATCCCTCAAACTTACAATCCCTTCTCAGACAACCGCCGCTGCCTCGTCTCATAGTGCAGATCCCGTTGCAAAGCTCATAAAAATATAATAGAATCTTCGTTCTGCACCCTATAGCCAACTAAAGCTGTGCGCTGCTAGTTTCTACCTGGGAAAGTAAAGATTTCAACTCGGAGTGGGGGCGCAACAGTTTCAGCGGCTAAAATTTGAAATTCGCGCGCGGAAAGAAATTTCAAACCACTCATGTGCGAAATTAACCGTTGAGAAGGCGCTTGAAACGGTCCACTAGGCTAAGAATCTTCGTTGCTTGTGCCTCGTGGCCTGCCTGCTGATGCTGAGGTTCTACGGAGGGAACTCAGCCATAATTGAAATGCAGATTGAGCGCCCACCGAGAGTGCGGTCAACAGAAATGAGTGCCGTCGTGAGGGGGGGGGGGGGAGCACCGGAGCAATCTCGGACGTCACGAGAAGATCACTACCTCTTTTCGTTCAACGATGTGTGTGTGTTTAGGAAGAGTGCAGAAGAACTTATCGAATGATTAGCATCATATGGAGAAGAGGGTGGCGGCCGTGTTCTGGTGCAGGAAGTAAGTTCTTGGACGATTAAGAAGGGCATACAAATCGACCTTCGACAAACAGAATTTAACGAATTGTACTCTCATTGAACGGCTTCTCGAACGTGCGCAGAATTTTTATTCGTAGCATAGTCTACTATTCAAATAGTTAGCAGCTTGTGAAAGAATACAGAATCACTAGCTAATACATTTTTAAGTACTAGCCGCGGCAGAAGTAGATTTAGCTACCTACGAAAGGAAAGGAACTCTCTAGCTATACTAGTCTGGCTTTTAGACGGGTGTTTGCCCAGCAACATGTACATAAACAATATCAGATCTCAACAGATTGCACTATCCTAGACACAGAACGTACTGGCCACGATAAATAAAGTAAGAGGGAAGAGAGAGGCTAGTACACGGGTTGAAGAGCTCTACTGCAGTCTACGTCTGAAGAGGAAGCTGAAGATTAGCTTAGAACTAGACGAGACATATCGGATCGAAGTCAAGTATGGTGTGGATATGTGCCAAGGAAAGGTAATTGAGCAGGATGCGGCCTTTAATCAAATCATATCAGTTTGAATTAGCGCAGATCAGCTATGACAGAGCAGCTTTGAAAATCTGCACCTCAGACGTGCCGGGTAAGGAATTCAAATCTTTATATGTGTAAAATATAAAGCTGGCTGTTAAATAATTTCTATAGCTTTGGCAGCTCGTAGAGATAAAAGAGATAATTGTCCTACGTTTGATATTTCTAGAAAATGGTTTAGAATCAGATAATGACTTCTGTAGCTTTGACAGAATGTAGAAATAGAAAACAGATAGTTTGTACTACGTTGGGTGTCACCGAAAAGATAGTTTGGAATCAGAAGATGCACACATTTTGAGTGAAAAAATTTTTTTGATGAAAAAAAAAGGCAGTAAAGTGAGATAACCCCATTTTTTACTGCGCGCAAATGTGAGAAAATTTCGTATAACTACAAAATATAGCTACATATTGTAAACTACAAATTTTTTGTAGAGATAAAGAAAACTGATTTGTGTGCCCAATCATAAAATTTCTTATTTGCATTTTCACAGCATGAGGATGGAGCTTGGAAAGCCAGAAAATTGAGTTTCAGAAATTTCAGAACCGTTTGGAGATAAATGTGCTCTGTTGCTAATGAAAAATTCTTTAAAAAAATCATGTGCGCAGCCTTCAAACCGCTCCCGCGCAAAAAAATTAGACGTGAGTAAAATAAGGCAAATTTTTTATTTATTTCATTTATTTTATTTTATGTATATCCTCGTGGTGCGCCTTTTAAAAAACCGAAATCGAACAGAAAATCGAGCAACACAGAAATAAGACAAAAGACCATATCCGACAAATCTATCTTGTATTTTGTATTTTTATTTTATTTTTTTATAAAGATTTACAAGGCAAAACAAAATAATTTAGGCAACCTTTGATGAAACAATAAAAAATCGAAAGGAGCATGTCACCATGCTGAATATCAT